ATGTGAACCTTGAGTTGCCTATTTTCTTATGAATGTGCACCCCCACCCAGATTATGCTTGATTTATCGAGTTTTTGACCCCCGAACTATGGATGAAACCATGGTTAGGCTGCTTTCTGTTCTTACGTGTGGGGGTGGGCTTGACCTTTTCTTTGGCTCTTTTGGTTCCACGTTGGGTTGTTGTTTTGCAGGGCAATGGCGAAACCTAATCTCGAGCACCCGTTCATCCGGGATCTCAGGAGGGGCCCCACCGCAGAGCGCTTCAAGGCGGTCGTGGAAACCCCGTTTGGGTCCCACCATTGCTGGTCCAAACGGGAGTTTCGGCGGCTGCACTGCTACGAGCAGCTTTCCGCCGCGGTCGCCAACACCGCATGGCGCCGTCTGCTCCAGATCTGCGAGAAGGTCTACTACGAGCCGGTGTGGGAGTTCTACACGACTTTCAAGCACAGTTCCACGACCAGTTGCCGGGACAGTACAGCCGTCCAATTCAGGCTGGGCGGTGTCCCCCGGTCCTTGAGCTACCACGAGCTGGCCGAGGCTCTCGACCTCGACCTCGACCTCGACGACAGTGAGGACTACATCACCGAGGTAAATGAGCCTCCGGAGGTGGACTTCGGGAGGCTGTACACCAGCCTGGCTCGGCCAGGCCAGACGCGTCCCTTCCGGTCCGGGAGGATGAAGGCATCTACCCTGCAGATCGACAACCGACTTCTCCACCACCTGCTGGCGAAGTCTTACACTCCTGCAGCTGACAGCGTCGGCGCCATCACGAAGAGGCCCCTGTACTTCCTCCATTCGATCCGCCAGCTCCGCCATCCTCTCCACCTGGGTTCGGTGGTGGCCAAGACCTTCGAGAAGACGGCCACAGAGCTGAAGAGCCTCCATTGCGCCCCCCTCATCACCCGCCTGGTCACCTTCTTTGGCCTTTCACTGCAGGGGTGCACCGAGGAGGGGGACACCCTCATCTTTGGCAGCAAGACGATCGGGAAGATGTTGCTGTTGCGAGAGAGGAACGGTGTTCAGTGGGTCGATGGATTCCCGGAGCCTCCGATCCCCGCGGAGCCCGTACCAGAGGCCCAGGCCGAGGGCCAGGAGGAGGAGGCTGCCGATGAGGTGGATCCCGAGGAGGTGGATGCTGCTGCTGATGCTGCTGATGATCCACCACAGACTGACTTCCATTACGGGGGTAGCAGCTCCACTTTCCAGGGCCAGGATTACTTCGCCCAGCAGTTCGAGCAGCTGAGGATCCAGAACCAGCTGATCCTCGACCAGCAGATGCAGTTCCATCAGCAGTACGCGGCAGATCAGGCCGAGTACCGGAACAGGATGGATGCTTATGACGTGCGGCTGAACACGATCCAGACTCAGCAGGACGTGACTCTCGCCCACATCGAGCGGGAGAAGCGCCGTTCACGGCGCATGCAGGAGGTTCAGCAGCACCTGCTTCAGCTGATTCCGGGCGATCCACCTGTCTGGAGGACTCCCTGGGATGACTCCCCTCCATATGACGGTGCTGCTGATGATGATGCGTTCATGAACGACATCGACCTCGACGATCTTGGCGACGAGTAGGCTGTACTCGTTGCCCGTCTCAGTGTGTTTGTTTTTTTTTTCTTTTTAGACTTTTGTGTGTTTGCTCCATGTGTGCGGAGCTTGAACTTAGAGTCGTTTGTTTTTGTTTTTGGTTTTTCCTTTGTGGTTTGATGTAGCCGTCTGGGCTAACACTTATCCCTAACGCACGGTGTGCTAGTGTGTTTCTGGTGTTCGATTTGTGTAGCATTGTCCACTCTCCCGTTCGTTTCTCGCTGACTGGTCCCCTTCCAGTCCCCCAGCAGTGTTCTTACCCGGTAACATCGTTCCCCTTATCTTTCCCTCTACTCCATTGAGGGCAATGTCGTGCTTAAGTGTGGGGGGGTGCTTTGTATCGGTTGGAATATTTATGATGGTGCTTGGAGCCTAGTCCGCTGTCCGAATCTTACGATTTGAGGGCTCCAAGTACTGTTGTTTGATCATATTGGCACTGTGTTTTGATGGATGAATTGATTGGTTTTCGGATTAATGCATGACAACTTGTTTGCGACTAGGACAACCTATGATGAGGACTGAGATGTGCAGTAGAACGATGTAGGGGTTCAGTTTTTCGACTGTTTGCTTGCCAACTGTGACTTGATCTGACTTGATCTGATTACTTGTTCTTGACAGTCGTTTATGCATCTAGTTCAGGGTATCAGAATGTGAGATAGAGCATATAGGTAGCCATGTGAGATTTGAGCCTGCTCGTTTCTTTCTTGTGCGATAGATCCCTCTTCCATGATGTGTAGCATTCACGTTGTCACTAGCTAAGATGATGGGGGCATAGGATTAGCCCACGCCCAAAAACTGACTGTCCTGATGTGTCATATCCCCTAGTCAGCCCCTTTGAGCCGTGTGTTATCCTTTCTTTTGGTCTATAATGGAAAAAAACACCCTTGTTGCATCTTTTAGAAGGTTCCACAGAGTGGTTTTTATATATTCTCTGCTGTTTCTGCTAAAGTCTATGTGAGTGTTGGAGGTAGTGCTTAAAAGTTGGGCAGGTGTTTGAAGTTTATGCAGAAGTGGTGGCTCTCTTAGGAAATGAAAAGAAAAATGAAAGTGAAACAAAGAAACAAATTGAAAGCAAAAGAGAGCCACTACCAAAAATCTGAATAATGCCCAGTAAGTAGTGTTTCTTAGCAGTCTGGCTTGGAAATGCTGATGTTTATGCCCCCTTCGCTCTTGTGCTCTTAAGATATTGAGTAATGCAGAATAGCAGAAAGAAAATACCGGTTTGTTTGACGGTGATTGTGTGTTTGGAGAATGTGGAACCTTTTGCTATGAATACTTCCACCACCTAAAAGGCCTTTTCCCCATGTCCAAGACCCTAGCCAGTCATTTGAACCTGTGTCTAAGACCTCCTGATTAGTTAGTGGTGACACCCCATATGTGAACTCTAGCATTTAGAGGCTGCCATCATGGTGAAGAGATGATAGGGATTGAGAGAAATAGCATGCGCATCTTTCGCATCAAATTGTCCTGACCCCACTGGTCGAGAGTGAGTGATTCATTTTCATTTTCTATATGCTCTTGTACCCCGGTGAGGACCTAGATTGCTCGGTCTCTATTCTGATGTCTTGAGCTGGATGCATGAGTTGACTGTTTTGAGTAAGTGGTTGAATCAAGTCTAGGTTGGCCAGTGAACAGAAGGGAGACTCTTCCTTTACTCGATTTGCTGCACTCGAATGTCCTTTGTGGTGGTTGTCCAGGTTGTTATTGAGGTTGTGCATGTATTGATGTTTGAAAACCAGTGCGATTCACGTGTTCTGTGCCTTTATGACTTGTCCCCAATGTTGGTTGATTGAAATATGTAAGCTTACCTAGTGTCTGACTTGGTTTGCTTGGGGACAAGCAAACGGTTAAGTGTGGGGGAGTTTGATAGACCGTCATTTACACATGTTTTTACCCCCGTTCTTACACCGTTTGAGGTGTTGATTCTCGTGTTTTAGGCCGATTTCACGCTAGGTTGTGCTTGTTTGTGATATTTCAGGTCCTAGTACGTGAATGAAGGCTTAGGAGCGAGTCTGGGGTCGATTGGACGAAGAACGGACGAATGGCGAGGTTTTTGGGGAGCTGCACGGGCAGACCAGGGAGACGCACGGCCGTGCACGTGAGCAATATGGCCGTGCGCTTTATACCGAGGCCATGCACGGGCAGACCTTGAAGATTGCACGGCCGTGCACCCTGGCCGTGCGAGAAGCCTGAGGTCGAACTAATTGATACGCCGCGTTTTGGAGTGCACGGCCAAGTGGGTGATCTGCACGGCCGTGCACCCTGGCCGTGCGAGTCGGGAATTCCTGGTTTTAGAGCCTATTCCGAGCCAAAAGTGGAAGAATCGTGTTTTCAGAGCAAAAACAGAGCCCTAGAGAGAGAAAGTACGAAGAACACACCCTAGAAGCTGTCTTAGAGTTGGATTTCATCGAATCGAGCTTGGAGATCGTCATAGGAGTGGAAATAATCGTCCCGGAGCAGATTATCCTCATCGTTATGAGTATGACTAATCCGATTCTTGTTTTCTCTTCTCTCTCTATGGAGTAGAACCCTTCTCTCACTTGGGTATGAAGAACCCTAGTTCCTTGTGTTAGGGATTTGATTGTAATGACTTGGGATGATATTACTGTTTGATTTTAATCGAATGACGCATGTTTAATGAATTGATTTGAGTCTGATCAGCTTTTCTCAATTTCTGCTGCAACCTGAGATAGATAGAATCTGATTAGGTTGTTAGAGCCTCTTCATTCGATAGTAGGAGATTGGCTATACGAGAGTTAGCCAGTTTACTGCTTTGTACTGGAATTCAATTCCAGTAGTGGAGTTCTGTGTTCATAGCCTCAGCTTTCTATCCCGGTGAAGACTAGTCGTCTGCCGGGTAGTTAGACTGAGAGGGCTTGGTCAGCTTAAGAGATTCCAAGCTACTGTCGGATCTTCCACAGTCTAATCAACAGTAAATCAACCCAGGGAATTGCAATTGAACCTAACTAAGGGGCTAGGGGGACTCAATCCCGAGTGACTCTTGCCTGCTTTAGAAACCGAACAATTTACTGCTTTCTTGTTGCTTTTACTTTTCACAACAATCACTCGAACTAGTTTGCTAGATAATAGAGAATCACGGAGTAAGCAGTAGATCTAGACCCCGGGTTGATAATTGAACTTGCCTGTTACTGCATTTCCGGACAGCGATTACACTTGGTCGCAGTTTGGTGTTGTGTTTTGGCGTGTCAGTTGGACAGCCTAAGGTGAAGGTTCCGAAGGCTTGTGTCATCAAAGATCTCGTGATGAAATTCTAGAGCCAGCTGTACATACTGAGAGGCTCCAGATATTGGTGGTCTCTTTGATCCATCTTGTATTGGAACCTGTTTCCTTAAATGGGTTTTGAGAAGATGGGGATATAATGGGGACAGGGAAAGAAGGATTCACTATTCTTTTCTATGCTTGGTAGCGGTGAGAACTGAGAACATTAAACCGCCATTGTGAACTCTAATGAAGCGGACTAATCCCAATGCTTGGAAGCTGCAAAAGAATCACCAGATCACGTTTCAATCTCATTTCCGAAAGACTTCAGAGCTCCCAAAATTATCAATACTTTTCATATTATAGAGTCAGAAAAACAAATCAGCAGATCTAAACAGGTTAAGGCACGCATCCGATCTGCATCACCTACGAGGATCACTAAGCGCTATGATGTGATACCAATCGTGAGCAATCACGCGGAATTCAGGTTCGCTATCATCTAAAATCGAAAATTCAGCTACAAATGGGAGCTTTCGAAGCTTCGAATCGAGGGAGCCCGGGAAGGAAAAGTAGGCTAAGGCAGGCTACTTACAATCAACACTTCCTTCATGGTAATCGACGCGTTAGCGGCTGCCATGGTGCCGGATTGGATCGACTACTCCGAAGCGGCGGGCAACCAGATCTACGAGTGCCGTCGAACTGTCCGTCGACGGGGATTGGCGCGGCGATGGTAGAGATGAGGATTTGTGCCTGAGAGAAAAAAATTGTCTGTCGCTGCTAATCTTGGCCTCTTCGTCGGGCTCAAATCCCAGAGGCCAGTTCCTCAGGAACTGCATTTCCTTTTTGTCGTAGGGGAGTTCGAACAGAGCGAGCGATTCCGGCTCGGCGAATTGGGCGAGTTGGGCGGCGATCCCGTGGCCGGCGAGTTGGAAGAATCCGTGTTCGGAGGCGGCGGAGAGGATTAGTTCGGTGGCTTTGGAGTCGGAGAGGGTGATGAGATCTGACAGCGGTGACTGAATTTAATTATTTTCTATCTAATTTACCCTTTTACCCTTAATGAATTTGATTGTTATAATAACAACACTAAGAGTGTTGTTATTCTATTCGAGCCCTTTCCCCTCACCAATTACAGCAGAAACAACAACCTCAGCTCCACCCCTTTTTTGTCCACTGATAATAGCCATCGAATTCCAATTCTGCCAAAGAAATGCAATCAAACTTTCCATTCTTGCTTCAGTACAGATCTGGAGGAAGGGAAAGAAGAAGAAGAAAGTCAATCAAGATTAAATCAAATACCGATCACTAAAGAAATCCCGGAAGGGTGCCACGAACGAACAAAACAACGATCGCCCAGAACAATTCTAAACAAAGGAGCTTCTGTCTTCCGGCACTTGTGATTGAAAGAGACATGAAGAAGAAAGAATTGAATGGAAACTAGGGTTTTTCAGGGAAAGGAGGAAAGTTCCCAGATTTAGAGAGCTGGTTAGTTGGAGTCTTGGAGAGGGTGGGGAGATGGAGAAATTTGCTGTTAATGCTTGTAGCAGGATTGCAGCTATCTCGGTGTTTATCAGTGTTGAAGAAAAGCGCAAAATAGAAATTCGCTGGATTGGTTCTGGCCTCTGGGTAACATAAATTTGCCGGATTGGTTTCGATTTTAGGTTGGTTTATTTATTTTTAAAATTTTGTTAATGAAGTGGAGTGCTGACTAGACAAATTTAACAGAAATTTGGATGGAAATTAACAGAAATGACCATTTTGTACAAGTTCAAACTTTTGTTACCGTATTGTTACAAATTATAGATTTGTGACCATTTTGTACTAAATGCAAAGGTTTGTGACCATTTATGATAATTTCAGAGTTCTCACAAGAACTCCTCCATTTCACCCCAAAAAGCGTGAGAAATTTTTAGCTCCAACCTTGGTTGGAGCTACAGGCTCCAACCTGCCACTTGGCAGTTCACTATTGGTTATTTTATCTTTCTCTCTCTTTATTTTAAATGCTTTTATTATTGTTTTAAAATTAACCAAAACTGGAATAAGAAAAACAATATAAAATATGACGGAGACGGCATGGACGGAAATCTGTAGCCCCAACTTGTGAGAGAAGGGTTTGGTTACGCTTATATTAGGTTAACTTCTTCTTCTTGTAAAAACAAAAGCTGAAGCCGCACAAGCCATTGTTGAGTAAAACCCCATCTCGAGGAGCAGCAGGGAAACAAGGTTAGGTGATATATTCTTTCTTTCCACAATCCAACATAAAACAACAGTACATAGTAGTAGCCATGGTACGTGATTTGATTGGTAAAAGTAAATTGTAGGTAGGTAGTTTTGTTATTTCGTTTGGGAATTCTTAACTATTATATGTTTTTTGAATTGATTATTGAAATCAAAAGCAACTGTACTATGGTGTAGCAGGGACATGCATGTCAAGACTTTAGTAATTTAACTTGTTTTCGATCCCCTCTTGCTAAGCTTTTTAGTTATGGGTGTTATGCAGATATGAATTCAAACGTAGGAGATGAAGAACAAAATCATCCTACGGGTTTGAATAATCAAGTACCACAAATTGGGATGAAGTTTGACTCTGATGATATGGCTTATGCATTTTATAGTGCATATGCACATGGTCTTGGATTCAGCGTAAGAAAGCAATTTGTCAAGCGAACTTCAACAGGAGAAGTAAAAAGAAGAACATATACATGTGCTAAAGAAGGCAAAACTGCAAAGAAAAAGGGGAAGCAGGTTGCTTATGAACGGCCAATTACCAGAATAGGTTGTCTAGCAGAGATGACGTGCAAACTACAAAATGATGGTTTGCTTGAGGTGGTTTCTTTTGAAGCAAAACACAACCATGATTTGGCTCCCACTCCGATGAAGCACATGTTGAGATCCAATAGAAAGATCAGTGTTGCTCAGAAAGCTATTGCAGATGATGCTGAAAAGGCTGGGTTACCAATCAAGTCGGTTATTAATTTACTAGCGGTACAGAATGGGGGTCGTGAGAACAATGGATTTCTGGATACTGATTACTACAATTATATTGATTCTCAGAGAAGGGCTAAAATGATTAAGGGTGATGGTCAAGCAATCATGGACTGTTTTCAGAAATCACAATCAGATGATCCATCGTATTTTTATTCTGTGCAGCTTGATGATGATGATCTTATTATGAATATGTTTTGGGCAGATAGCAGGTCAATAGTTGAATACAAGCACTTTGGAGATGTTGTATGTTTTGATACAACCTACAGAATTAACAAGTATGGTCGCCCTTTTGCTCCTTTCGTTGGAGTCAATCATATGAAGGAGACAATAATTTTTGGGGGAGCATTACTTTATGATGAAACAATCACATCATTCAAGTGGTTATTTCAAACCTTTCTGACTGCAATGGCGGGAGCACAACCCAAGACTATATTAACAGATCAGTCAGCTGCTATGGCCAGAGCAATTGAAGAGGTATTTACTAAAACCCATCATCGTTTATGCGTTTGGCATATTTACCAAAATGCTGCTAAACACTTAAGCAATGTATTTCATGCATCTAGTCAATTTGCTGGTGATTTTGGTGCATGTGTATATGATTATGAGGATGAGGATAAATGGTATGAAGCTTGGGATGCTATGCTTAAAAAGTATAATTTGGAGAACAATGAATGGTTGCATGGGATTTTCTTGGAAAGAAAAAAATGGGCCATGGTTTATGGGAGACATATGTTTACTGCTGATATGAAGAGTACACAACGTAGTGAATCAATGAACAATGTGTTGAAGAAATATTTGAAGCGAAAACATAACATGGTGTACTTTTTTGAGCATTATGGTCGCATGATAGAAGATAGACGGTATAAAGAGCTCTTGTCAGAGTTCAAAATGAGGAACACCAGCCCAAGATTGAGAGCAGATGTTGAGGTGTTAAGACAGGCATCAGAGATTTATACTCCCAATGTGTTTCAAATGTTTCAAGAAGAATACCTCAAAGTTTGGGATTGTACCATTGATAAGATTAGCAAAACAGAAGTTGAAGTGGTGTACAAAGTGATATATGTTGGTAGAGGTACAGAGCACCAAGTCCGATTTGAGTTTTCTTCTCAAGGTGTTGAATGCAGTTGCAGAAAGTTTGACTTTGTGGGAATATTATGTGCTCATGCTTTGAAAGTTCTTGACAAGAAAAATATAAAGCACATTCCGAAGCAGTACATAATGAAGAGATGGACAAAGGATGCCAAAGATGGACAAATAAGAAGTTCAACTCAAATTCAAGGAGGGTCTAAGGAACTCATTGGGAAGCGTTACTTTGATCTTAACTACAATTTTCGAGAGATATCCACCCTAGCAGCCGAGAAAGACACTATGTATGAGCATACATGTGGAGTTCTTTCCAAGTTGTTGAAGGATCTGCAGGAGATGAAAAAATGCTCACAAGGTGGAGTGTCTTATGAGGGATTATGCTCAAAAGGCGAACAAGATTGTCCAATTGTAGCTGGAGTCAAAATCAAAGCTACAGTTGCACAACCAAAAGGCAGATTGAAAGGTGCATTGGAGCGAAGTAAAAACCATAAAAGTCAAACAAAGTCACAGGTTCTTTTTTCCTGTCTTTTTTGTTGCTTTAAAAGAATACTGTAATATGACCTTATTATACTACTATAATTATTATATTTCAAATAACATTATATGTTGGGTAAAAAAGTGAAAACAAGTTCTTCTCAACAACTTAAAAATAGTCCTGAAGTTCAAGGTAAAAAAACTCAGGTAAATTGTTTTAGCTTGTCCTCTTTTGTTTAGAAGAAAACTATAGTATTTTTTGCTTCTTATGTGATTCTTGTATTTTATAGGGTAAGAAGAAAGCTGGTTATTCTCGACAAGTTGAGAGTTGTCCTGTGGTGCACATCTAAAATGATAAGGTTTGTTTGCTTCAACTTATTTTACATATAAAAAAACACATAGTATATTTGTTTTCTTTTATCAAGTGAGATATATATATATTTATTGATATAATTTTTAAACTTTTAGGCGGTCATTGCACAATATGAATCTCAGAATTCGATTACTATACCAACAAATATTATCCATGAAGAGCACATTGACTCGACAATATCTTTCAATCATATGTCATACACTCAATTGTTACAGGTATACGAAATAATAATAATTTTATTTATATTTTATCATTTTACTTATTACTATTTTAACTTGATGTCTATTTATCATTTTGCAGGATGCAATAGCAGATTCATATTCCGATGTTCCAAAATTGTGATAGTAGCATCGACCGATTCATGAATTAGGACCTGAACTATCTCATAGAATAACAGACAAGTCCCTTGATTTCTTAAATAAAGTGCAGCAAGCCATGATTGAACTCTACAATATTGTACTTTTATTTACATTCGTAAGCTTCATATCTCTTGCCAATTGCCATGCATGTATACTACTACTGGCACTTTTCATTTCAATTATAAAATAAACAAGCATTTTTTTCTCATCATTATGATGCTACCCAGCTACTGTAAATGATGATCATGAACACAGCTACTGCTACCCATCAAGCAGCAAGCTTACAAGTAGCTACAGTGACCAAGAAGAAGAGAACAAATTAAGAACTGAAGGGTAAGAAAGCTAGAACCACCGGTTAGTACTGACGAAACAATGCAATCCCTTTTATCATCATCAACTCGCTCTCTTTTCCCTGCGAAGAAGAAGAAGGGGGAAAAGGTGGACAGCTTTCTGAGGGGAAAGAACCAAGAAAGTTGTATGAATTTGCATAAGAAGAGCATAAATAAGTTTCATTTCAGTTCAGGAATCACATTATTATTACAGAAGGCTAGAAATAGAGAATTGTCGTTTTGCGGTCGACAGGCAAGGGGTGTGGTTAATTTCCGTCCATGCCGTCTCCGTCATATTTTATATTGTTTTTCTTATTCCAGTTTTGGTTAATTTTAAAACAATAATAAAAGCATTTAAAATAAAGAGAGAGAAAGATAAAATAACCAATAATGAACTGCCAAGTGGCAGGTTGGAGCCTGTAGCTCCAACCAAGGTTGGAGCTAAAAATTTCTCAAAAAGCGTCTTATCATTTAAGGTCAGTTTCCTACTTATAAACTATGGATCTCTCCCGTGTTTTGTCAATATGAAATTCGTCTAAGGTGTTACAGTTGTGGTGAGTGCGAAGCCCAAACAGGAAAAAAAAAAAACTTTAGTAACGTATTGGTCTCCGCGGTCTGTGGATAAAATCATAAAATATTCTTGGCTGGCCCAAAACCAAAGCCTTAGGCATCCGAGATCAGACCGTACTCACAGTAAAAAGGAGCCCATATGTCGGAAGCCCAAGCCCAAGACAGAACCGAATCGGAATTGGACGTGAGAGGGGCAAAACCGTCAGACAGAAAATTGCCTGAAATCCGATTCATCGCCCCCTATATAATCCTCGATCCTCAAAAACTAGGGTATATAAGCTCCCCAAATTCTCTCCGCCCAAAATTTCCCGAACCCACACCGCAGAATCAAACGTTCGAACGCCCAAACCTCCGTCGCCACCTCCATCTGTAAATCATCTCTTCCCTTTCTCCTCTCTTCCATTTCCGATTCCTGTCTCAATTTCTGCAGGAACTTCCGATTTCTCGCTTCTCCTATCTCTGGTGTTTTCGCTCCCGTGCGAATTCTTGTTCATGTTTCCTTCCGGTTGCTGATCACGATGCTGGGGTGGGGGGAGAGAGTTTTGACTTGATCGTCTTTCTTATGCGTTTTCTGTTTGTTGGTGTGCAGATCTTTGGCTAGTTATGGCGACGTTCGAGCTCTACAGGAGATCGACGATTGGGATGTGCTTGACGGAGACTTTGGACGAGATGGTGCAGAGTGGTACTCTCAGTCCGGAGCTCGCGATCCAGGTCCTGGTTCAGTTTGATAAGGTATCCATGGCTGAATTACTGTTTAGCTGTAGCTGAACTAGCTGTTGAAAATTCCATGCTCTGACCATTGCTTTGTGGATATGGTGGGGGGGTTTTAGTCTATGACTGAGGCACTAGAAACGCAAGTGAAGAGCAAGGTCACGATCAAGGTAATCTCCCAAAGCCATTTTCTTTGTTATCTTCGCGTTATGCTGTAAGGGACTAGTTGTGTTGTTCGTTTTGGTGATTAATTGAAATTCAGTTTTGGTTTCCTCTGCTTGTTTATGTTGATTAGGCGTCTTTGTTCTTGACCTATGGTGTATTATCTTGTTCGTGTTATTACAAGTGGGAATTCTGGTTCTTTCTGCTCTGGATTTTTCCAAAGAAGGTGTGATCTGCTTTGGGGTGGATTAGGGATTGGCGCTAGGGTGGCACATTGAGATCTGATTTGATTTGATCTGAGCTGAAGTTGCTGCCTGTTTGCTAAATGTTTCACAGTGATTTTATGAAATTGGTTTCTTGTGATTTACATTGTTATTTCTGACTAACAACACTGGAGCCCTGATGCATATAGATTTATCATATTTTCTTACTTGGATTAATTATTATTAGTAGCTGTGTTAGGGAGATAATTATGGTAGTTAGTTGTTAGTAGAACACGGGAAGTGGTTCGAACTGGCTCAATCCCGCCAAGAAAGTGGATCCATTCATTCGTACAATTTCAGTCCTTATCAAGCCCTGCCGTAGTTCACCAAGCCCTTGTAGATAATTGCTTGAATCCCCGCTTTAGTGATTATCTTATATGTAAAACCCTAGGGTGATTTTTTGGTAATGCATTAAATTATTTAGGCCTACTGTTTTTTACTTGTCCCACAATAGGTATCTGAGTCAATGTGCCTAGGTGGTCTGACGAGACCGATTCTGGAATTGTTACCTTCTTTACTGTTTTGGTCTAATCATAGATGCATTACTACTTTTTTCTGCCCGAGCACAATCGGCTCTGACACCCTCCAATCAATTTGTGCTGTTCTGATGATATTTCCGGTGACCTTTGTATTTTTATGAACTGATGCGCCGAGATGTCTCTGAGGTTAATGTCCTCTAATATTAATCCAAAAATCTGGCATCCCATTGTGATGAAATGTGAAATGGTATTGTTTGTGTGTATGACTAATTTGTATGTATAATAAGTTAGCGAATGTGCGTGCCCACCACATGTTGTCTGCATCTTTGCATGAATGGTTGGACATGAAAGGAAGTTGAATAATTACAACAAGGCAGGAAGCTGTGCATATAAACGACATCTTACATGGGTTTCATGAGGGAACCTAGCAATAGCTTTGAGCGTTGAGTGTTGGTTTGTAGTAGTATATCAGTTTCAGAACTCTGCTTTACCTAGGTGACTTTCTTATTTATGTTTGCAAGAATTTGTGAGTGCACGTACTCAGTCTGTAGCATGTCTTGAATAATTACATTCAGTAGTTATGCTGAATTAGGTTAATTCCTTGAGCATTTGTCATATTGTGAGTAGCTAATTTGGAGTTCAATTAAGGACCAATTTGTATACTGTAAGCTGGAGAAAGAATGGATAACAAGTCAACACAAATTTTCTGTACCTGGAATGGATCATTGAGCATACTATCCACTAGAAATATTGTGGCAAAAGAATTTTCTGTCATGTTGATGCAAGTCCTAAAGGAAATAGCCATGTTTGTGTGTCATCACCTCAAAAACCTCTCTTCACTTTTTCCTCTTACCGCTCTAATGACCATATTCGTTCTTGTGTTTTCTGTGAGTACAGGGGCATTTACACACATACAGATTCTGCGACAATGTATGGACCTTCATATTGCAGGATGCATTGTTCAAGAACGAAGAAACCCAGGAGAACGTGGGCCGTGTTAAGATAGTAGCATGTGATTCTAAGCTGCTCACACAATGAGGTTCCGGGAAGCGATGAACCCCATTCGGTAACTCTTGATGGTAAGGCGAGGAAGGATGGGAGCATGATGAAGGAGCACTGAAACCGGGAACTAGTTTTACCAAAATTTCAAAAGAAAAAAAAAGAAAAGAATATTGTTGTATAGCCATCATCCATCATCATCATCATCATCTCAATCCCCTCTTATCATCTTGATGTTTGCAAGAGAACAGAGAACTTCTGGCTTTGGATTATATATCATGCTTTATTTTGTAATTTCTTTTCTTTTTTAAGACTTTCAGAGAAATTATCAATGTTGTTATGAGATGAGACAGAGATGTAGTAGTGAATTGAGAAGTCCACTGTGGATTATTATTCCATCAATGGCAGTCTATCAATTGTAACGCCATGAATTCTTTTGCTATACCCTCTACCGGGTGCTGTCTCGTGAATTGTTTGCAGGTTATTTCCTCTTCTGTTCAAGGGTTCTTTGGTTCTGTGTTTGTTCTTGGTCTGCAGCGCCTAACAAACAGGTTAATGCATGCTTTCCGACCACGTTTCACGTGTTGGGATCGGCGGCAGCGGCGGCGACCCTTTTGGTTGATTTGCCGTCGCTGTCGAATCCAAATGCAGGGATGGAAATGGAATCGGAAGCCCAAGTCAGGGAGAAGTTGTGCAGCTCTCTTTCTCTGCAAATGGTCCACTAATTATATGGGTGGAATCGGATTCTGGGCAACTAACTGCTTCGACATACCTCCCTAGTGCGTGTTGTCAAAATTGTGAAAATGAAAGGAGAATTGAACGGTTTCCAGCTCTTATGCCCATGGGAGACTGAAAAGCCAGGGATTCCTGAAACCGACAGAAAGACTAAAGAAAGAAGAATCGCCTGGATTCGAATTTTGCCTTATAATGAAGGAAGATGAGCTCTGAAGTGTGATTCCGAGGAGAAGATCACCATTCATCCGGCTGCTGCAATGGCAGCCTCAAAGGTTCCTCCACGAGCTCATCAGTTTCAGCTCGTGGACGGCATGCAACTCCAGGTGATTACAGATATGAATTACCCAATACCCGAAAGTTTGAATTTTTGGTCTTCATTTCAGCATTTTCCTTTTATTTTTTTGTGTTTGTTTCCTGGCTTTGTAGATTAATGTAAGTGGATCTTTGAATGGACGCAACGTTAGAGTTGAGCTCCAGCTGAAGAATTGCAACAGGACTTGGGTTCTTCACTGGGGTTTCACTTTCCCAGGCAACAGGTAGCCACCGCCACCTTAGCTAGCTCGTGTACACGGACATGATACTCCCTTTGTGAAGGTGGTTTCCATGTGGATATGTAACTGTTCTGTCTGTCTTTTCTTCCAGGAGCTGGTTCATTCCTGGTGATGGATCAAACTCCTACAAGCCTGGTGCACTGCAGACCCCATTTACTAAGGTTCGTTGTTGTCGTCCAAGCTCTGAAGCAGACTCCTTTACCTGTGGTTTGATTTATTTGAGAGCTACAAATTTGATTGAAGGTACAGAGTGGAGATTTATATGTGGTCAACATCGAGCTGCTGGATCCAAAGATTCAAGCTATTGAATTTGTCTTGAAAGATGGTAGCCGCGACAGATGGTTGGTTCTTTAACTTCACACTCTCTTACTTGCCCCGTCTGTTCTTCAGGTCCCTTGTAGTCATTCTGAATTTTCAATCTAACGGTATTTTCTTACGATTGTTTATTTGCTATCAGGTTGAAACTGAACAATGGGAATTTCAGAGTGGAGCTACCTGAACATGATGAAAATGTTGTCACTCAGCATATACCAAAAGATGTGATTGACCGCAGGGCTTATCAGATCTGGGAAAGGAAGGGTAGGCCAATGGGCTCACCGCAGCAACAGAAGGTCCAGTTAACATCCACACTTACATGACATTCTATGTCAGGCTGTGTTCTTATGTATTATTACTTTTACTCAATTTATTCCCATATGCAGCAAGATTATGATGATGCTTTAAGGGAGCTTCAATTCCAGTTATCCAGAGGATTGGCTTTGGATGAGCTACGGGGAAATTCCAACACTGAAGTTTCCAGAACTCCGACTCTTACTAGAGATCTGTCCAAGGATCAAATGGTAAAATATCTTTACCGCAGGAGACATGATGTGGGGCAGTGGTTGCATAAGCCAATGGGACGCAGCAAAAGTTTCAATCGCCAAGTGTCCGCCTTGATGGATCTCGTGGAGAAACGTTACGGAGGAGGAGATGATGTGGTGTCTAGACAGAGCTATTATGCAGGCAACTGTGAGATAGTGGTTAGTTTTCTGTCATGAACATGACTAATTCAAATAGTTCAAGCCATTATTGAGATAAATGGATGAAGTTGTCATGAACATGGATTGCAAAGAATCATGAGTTTGTCAAAGTGGAACAGACAAGACTTATCTCTGGAAACACCTAATATCTAACTACCAAATTGCTTAGGATCAAAGAAAGCTCTGTGTAAAATCAACATGTTACATCTAGACTTATCTCTAGCTAATGGACTTTTTCTTTATAAAAGTGTTCTGAGTAGTAAAGCAATGGTTACATACAGGTCCTTTTGAGAGTGATTAGAGGTGAAGTTCATGTTTTGGTGGCAATGAACATTAAAGGTTCCATCGTTCTTCATTGGGGGTTATCCAAGTTGTCTTCGGTGGAGTGGTTGGTGAGTTCCCTTGTTAGACCCAGCCTATATCGATTTCGCTTCCTCTTTAACTGAAGTACAATGTGAAAACGTCTTGCAAGGCTCCTCCACCTGATCTACTGCCTGAGAAATCGAAACTTGTGCCGGGTGCTTGTCAGACATATTTCACTGAAGTAGCCACATCAAATGGGTTCTTTCAGGTAGTTAATATGACCTCATTTTGGTTATAATCATCCACTTTGACATGGCTTTGTACTAACCCTCCCCAATTTTTGCACATGCATACAATTACATGCGGTATCGGTGGGGAAAAATATAGGTTGTGGATATAAATCTGCGGCAACAGAAGTTTGAGGGCATTCAGTTTGTGATATGGACAGGCGGTTCATGGATAAAAAACAATGGGGCAAACTTTTCTGTCAATTTGAAGGCAATCAATGTGAGTGAAAAAGGCTTCTAATGTTTTGCTGTCATTATACTGGATCCTTAGCGAGATTCTGTTTACTCTTTGGTATTCAGGGCGGGGGAGAAGTGAAAGGCAGCATGAACTGGTTACTTGATGAGATAGCTCAACGTGAAAAGGAGGCTGAGAGGTCCTTGATGCACAGGTTAAGCTTTCACAACTGAATGTTATCTACGTGATGGCTGATGAAGCATGAGGACATGAACATGATAAAGGGATCCATTTTTTGCTGACCTCTGTAAATTGATAAATTAACTTTTTACATAATTTAACAGGTTTAGCATTGCTACAGAACTAACAGATCGCTGCAAGGGTGAAGGCGAGTTGGGTTTGATTGGGATATTAGTGTGGCTGAGGTTCATGGCCAGTAGGCATCTCACCTGGAACAAGAATTACAATGTCAAACCTCGGTAAAGATCGTTTGAGCTCTGATAAGAATTCTTGTCACATCCTGGATAATGATAACCATTAGAGGAAGACTGTAAAAGATGGCTATATTTCAACTTATCAATATTTTCCTGTATGAGTATGTTAAGGTCTCGGAGATCATGTATAACCTGCGTAAGGGATGCAACGATAATACACCAATTCTATTTCCTTGCTGTCTGTCCAGTGAAATTAGTGAAGCCCAAGATAAGTTCACGAACTTACTGCAAAGGATCTATTTGAACCAGCCGAGTGAGAGAGAGATTGTGCGACTAATTATGTCATGTGTTGGCCGTGGAGGCAAAGGTGATGTTGGGCAGAGAATACGTGACGAGATACTTACTATTCAGGTTATTCAAATTCTTTGCTATTATTGCTTGCCCTTTATCAAACTTGTTATTGAATTAGCTTGCTTGACTGACTTTAATGTATCAGAGAAATAATGAGTGCAAAACTGGGATGATGGAGGAATGGCACCAAAAGTTGCACAACAACAGCAGCCCGGATGATATCATCATTTGTGAGGTATGTTCTTCGGATTGATTAAGCTGTGTTTGGTGTAAGTTTTCTGTGCTTTTTCAGCACGAGACATCCTAAACATGATATGTTTCTGTGTTTCATACAGGCACTCTTGAATTATGTAACCAGTGGTTTCAGAACTGATGTTTACTGGCAAACACTGAATGCCAATGGGTTGACAAAAGAGAAGCTTGCCAGTTATGACCGTCCAATTACATCAGAACCTCGTTTCAGAAGCGATGCTAAAGACGGTCTCATCCGAGACCTTACCATGTATTTGAAGACATTAAAAGTACTTTCATCTGTTCATAATTAGTTTTCATGTTTACTGCTCCAAGCTCAGCATGGATAGCCCTTAATGATTCTTGTAACTGCTCACTTGTGTTTTCTTTAGGCTGTACACTCAGGTGCTGACCTTGAATCTGCAATTGAGAGCTGTTTGGGCCCTCTTTCCAATGTAACCCTACCCTCTCTTCTATTCAGTATTCTCTAATGCTTGGGGGTTATTCTGTGGTTCAAAATTTTGAAAGGCAATCTTCCGTCTTATATCTCAGGGGCACTACCGTGGAAGCCCAGACCGGATTGCTTCTATTGGTGGCCTAACACCAAAGCTACAGGTGCCTTATTGTTTGGCAGATCTTTTATACAATATGTTCTGTTCAGATTCTGTGCGTCTTTTTCCGCACAATGTTCTATTTGCAGGCATTTAAACGACTTTTTTATTTCATGGCTAATTATCAGGACTCCTTGAACTTTGTCAGATCCCATGTTGCTGATCAGAATATAGCTCCTCTGATGGAGGTTAGCTCACTCTTGCCAGATAGTATGAACGTTTACAAACATTTGAACTGAGAAATTCTCTTCACATATCATATTGGATTTCGCATTCATTTTCCAGAAATTACTGGAATCTCGGATTGAACTCCGCCCGTTCCTGTTAACAAGTCATGGAAAAGCTAAAGACACTATTTTTCTTGATCTTGCTCTGGATTCAACGGTCAGAACAACGTTGGAAAGGGCACTCAAAGATCTGAGCTCTGTGCAACCTCCTGTAAGTACTCTAATGCATATCCACATATACATTTCGGTTGCGAAACGCCAGCTTTCAACTTCACATTGCTTGAAAGGAATTAATAAAGGAGAAAATAAGAAGTCATCTTTGGTTTCTTGTCTCTGAATAGGAATTTGCATTCTACATTACTTTGGTGCTGGAAAATTTATGCCTTTCCACTGTCAATAATGAGGACCTCATTTATTCCATGAAGGTACATTTCGGTTACTGCCCCTATCTCAGATATCCCTTGAATTGCTTGAATGAAGAGATGAATGTGTATGTTCAATTTTCCCATTTTACATTCCCCGTTAATCGGAGCTTCAGTCAAGTCCACCCAGAAAACGAACCCGCTTTACACTCTAACCATTAATGGCTGCTTGTATCTGTTCTAAGGTTCTTCCTTTAGTTTCTGGTACCACCTTGATTACAAACACTATGGCTAGCGCGTTGATTGCAGCATAAACAAGAAACGTACCTGCATAACATTGACAGTTTCTCATCAATCAAATCGCACTCTTAACTCCATCTTAATGTCCATCAATCTATACGAGTAGTATATCTTTACCATAGGAGCTCCAGGACATGAGGAAATTGTATGTGTAGGAAACTGCCCATGCACCAAACCAGTTAACTAAGGTGGCTAAAGCTCCAGCTGCCCCTTTGATGTTTATTGGAAATATCTAATACAGAAAAGAAAATTCCGACAAAGAAAGGGAAATTGGTCAGAGTTAAATTATGAAAGAATATGATAATTCCTTAATGCGCTCTTTCTGTCAAATGAAATGATAACAGTTACCTCGGACATGATGACCCATGGAACAGCTCCCATCCCTGCTGAAAAGGACCCAATGTATAACTGCAACTCAAAAAACAAGAAGAGACTGTTAGAAATTCAAACCTTTTTGAGTTACTAAGGGAAGGCTGTATTAGTTTTATGCCAGAGTGTGTTTAGGGTTTACCAGTATGCCAGTTACCGCCATCGCGGGAACATAGTTCAGAGCCAATTCATTGACCTAATTTCACACAGCATAAAGACGTCATAAAAGATAAAAACACATTAGATTTACATTCTCAAGAGACAGACAAAAGGATAAGATCATTAGCTTTGAGAGAAATAGACCTTTAGGTAGAATGAAAGGCCTGTTATCAAGCAGGCCAGCACCAAACCAGATCCAGAAACCTGTTCAGAAGATGAAGATGATGGTGAGTTTATCCTGATCAGGGTAAGGGGAAAGTGAAGATATTTTTTTGATCGGTGGCCGGTTTTTACCAGTAAAAGAGGCTTCCTTCCTGCTCTGTCAATCACTTGTGTAATTAACAGTGTCACTACAACCTGAAGAATTTCAAACAGAAGCCTATTAGGTGTTTGGATTATGAGTCCTTTTTAAGGATTTCTTTTGAGAGTTTAGAAAAACCTGAAGAATGGCATAGGTAATAGTTCCAACACTTGGGGAGAATCCTAACACAAATGACATTGACCAATAAGTTAACAGTAACAAGAAAGTTTCACTGGGGGTTAATCCAACATTTCGCAACTTGCAAGTATATTTATATATCAACCTGCTGACTTGAAGATGTTACTGACATAAAAGCACACTCCATTTATTCCTCCAAATTGTTGAGCCACCATCAACCCAACACCAATCTGGCAAGCCACAACAAAATCATACACAAAAAAGAAGCAAAGCGAAAAACAGAAGGCATCCCTGAAATGAATAGCAAAGAAATGAGAGAACGCACAATGACTGATCGTAGATATCTTTTGTTGAACAAGTCCAGCAGCTTTACTTTAGGAAGCCGGTCAAGTGTTTCAATGTATTCCTGTAGACATTATAAAATATTAGCTTTTGTCATCATTCATTATATTTCTTGAACCTTACAAATTGTTCACCAAGGTTTCAAACTTTCAAACCTTAATCTCAGCTGCCTCCTCCACAATGTCAGCATCCTTGCCCCTAAGTTTCTGCAGTGCAACCTCGAACTCCTTTTGCCGACCTCTCTTTGCCTGCAGGATAGATACAAAACAACATACAATGTCAGCAAAATGCAAACGATCCCTATTTAGACAACAATAATTTAGTTTAGGGTACCAGCCATCTAGGAGATTCTGGGATGAGAAACAGTCCTATAAGCAGGATTCCGCAAGGGATGAGTCCTGCAAAATGCCACAATCAGTTAGATCCAATTTCCTCTAAAACATTTGCCATTCACCAAAATGGAGAAACTGATGAGCCTTTTTTCTCTCTTTACCAGTTAAAGCGAGAGCCCTCCACGTTAGAAATGTGCCGATAATGAATGATACCGATGCTCCTCCACAGATCATAACCTGATTCAAAGTAGCTAGGGCCCCTCGAAGATTCTTGGGCGCTATTTCGGATATGAAAACAGGCACCTGATCGTTCATCAACATCATTTCAAGTTTCTCACCATTGAAATAGAGATCTAAAGCAATATTTTCCAAAGAAAAAGCAAAATGTTACCACGTAGGAGAACACTCCCATCCCATAACCCGTTGCCAATCTGCCAATGTCCAGTGCGACTACTCCCTTTTGTTATAAACCAGAAACAACAACTTCAGAATTTCAGACATACCAAAATATACAAATCCAATTTTTCTACAAACGCACCTGAGCAAAGTAAATGGCAATCCAGCCTGCAGCACAGAAGGTGCTTGACAATCTCATTGCCTGCACATGGAAATAAAGATACTGACTTTTTGCTTCTGAAATAACACCCAAAAAGTTAAGCTAGCTGCTTCTGTGGTTTGATGGTTAAACTTAAAAATTACCCCTTTTCGGCCCATGAGATCAGCCAGTGATCCGCTTGTGATTGCACCAATCATTGCCCCAAACGTCAGAATTGAACCAAACATAGAATACTGCACATATCTCAATAACTCTGAATTCAGTGCTATAGTTTATAAGCCACAACTCGTTTGCGAGGGTACAATAATAGACTCTACCTCTGCCAGAGACAGGGAGAGATCTTCCCTGATTGCATCTTGTGTTGGCGATGAAAATCCCACCTACAACAAGCCAGCAACATTGTTTGACATATGATCAAAGAATTTTCATGTGTGTAAAGCAGAAGCTAATTTACAACAAGAAAAACAATATGTAAACTTACACAGCATCCAAATACATAAGACCCGCAAACAGCGACGAAAGTGCTGAGATAGACCATCCACAGACTCTCATTCCTGCTCTTCTGCTGCAAACCATCTTCTTCCACCGATGCCGTGGCTACTGGATGATCATTCTTCAGAATGAGTGGCTCCTCCATGTGGCTGCGTAGACTAAGCTACAGAGGTTGCAAAGAAGGCTGGAATCTAGTTCAGCCAACCTTGTGTGTTTGGCAAATCAGTCCACAGAGATGAAGTGGAGAATAAAAGGGGAAATGACAACCAATATTTCCAAGTGTACCCATAGGATGCATTCGTCCCTGATTTGGCTTTATTTGGGCTGTTAATAAATTTGATTAGGATAAGCATTTCCTTCCCGGGGTGTTAATCAACGTGGAGTACCCATAGTGTAGATTGTTGTTGTCTTCTTTTTGTCCTTTGATCTGTGACCCACGTTGCAGTATTCAAACAAAATTAAGTTTCAGCCAATAGAAAGGCTGCGATGAGAACTTGGTTAGAGTACTGACATACAGAGATCAACATGTGATGAGGTTGTTAAATTTCAATACTTAAGAACGTGAGATGGCGATTCAACAACGTCAGCACGTGCTTATCTCGAAAGTAAAATGGTTATGATACCATTTTTCATACGAAGGGAGCACTGCAGTTTTAGGCAAAGAAGCCTAACAGGACGCGAAAGTAGTTGGTGAGATCTCCTTTTATATTTTTGGTTTTAAAAGAACTGGTCTGTTTGGCAGGCGGCGCCATCAGAACAACTTGACCGTTGTTTTTGCTTGAGTTTGAGCCTCAATAATAATGGTGGACCCAATTATTTTTATTTTATAATAATACATTACCATTTTTGTTTGTTTCTTTTGGAAAGGATTGGTATCGGGTGTGCGAAGTGTACAAACCAAACGATGCACAGTGGGCGCTGCAAGCAAAAGCTGTACTTGATCGGCTGCAGCTAGTAGTTGCTGAGAGGTCTATTGCTTTCCACACAAAGATCCAACCCACTGTCCAGTATCTTGGCCGTTTGCTTGCTGTTCCCAAACGAGCGGTATGTCACATGTTGACTAACTTAGTTGTGCAATGACTACAAATGGCATAAACTCTCTATGATATATTCTGGTTCTGTTTCTTCTATATCATGCGACAACTGAGCTAAGACAAAAGCTTATGTGATTTGTCTAGTCATTCTTCTGTCTTATATGGTTGTTTTCTCTTGGTCAAGATTGACACTTCTGCAGAGGAACTAATCAGGGCAGGTTCAGCAGCTACCCTTTCTGCACTTATCAATCGTTTTAACCCGGTCCTCAGAAAAGTAGCTAACTTGGGCTGGTAAACTTTGAACCAAACCTCGACTCGTTCCTCGTTAGCAAAAAATACTGAGTGAAGTGGTAAACTTTGAATAATGTCCGAGTTTTTTCCATTACAGTTGGCAGGTTATTAGTCCAGTGGAAGTTGGTGGTTTCGTGACGTCAGTCAACGAATTAATCACCGTACAGAACAAAGTGTACAAGAAACCAACTGTTATCATTGCAACTAAAGTGACAGGAGAAGAGGAGATTCCAGATGGAGTTGTTGCTGTACTCACCCCCGACACGCCTGATATTCTTTCTCATGTCTCCATTAGAGCGAGGAACTGCAAGGCATGTCTGTCTGTCACCTCTTGCATTTCACTATTATTGCGCAGCTTTGAAATTGAGATTTCAAACATCACATGTTCTACCAAAATATGGTATTAGGTATGCTTCGCGACGTGTTACGACCAGAACCTGCTGAGGAATCTCAAGCTTAAGGAAGGAAAAGCTGTATCGATTAAAATCAAATCGATGGATTTGATTATCCGGTATTTAGAAATTCGTCATATGGGTTACCTTTACTTGTATTTTACTGCATGCTAAATCCTGAACATATCGTGCATTTGCTGGTGCTTGCAGTGACATCAGTGCTTCAGAATTATCTCTCAGTTCGTCTGTTTTCTCTTCCATTCTACGGAGAACATCGACATTGAAGAGGAAGACATTCCGTGGGAAGTATGCAGTTTCTGTTGAGGAATTCACTACAGAGATGGTAACATTCTGATCATCTAACTAATAAGTTTTCAAGGTTTTATGTTCAGACGGTCTCTGAATGTTTCAAAGGGACATTCTGTTTTATATAGTCTTACAAAATAAGCCAGAAAATTCCTTTGCTCAAGTTCTTTGGCGTCAGCTTGACTTGGTAGTGTATCTGTTGCCAATTTTGTAGGTTGGTGCAAAATCTTGCAACATTAGATTCCTAAGAGAAAGAGTGCCCTCGTGGATCAAGATTCCGAACTCTGTGGCTCTTCCATTTGGAACTTTTGAAGCTGTTTTGTCAGAAAATATAAACAAGGTAGATCTGCATTCTTTAGACATTATAGTAGTTCTCTTGTTTATCCTTGTATTCCTAGAACCGTAATACATTATGTTTTTACTTGCAGGACATTGCTAGCAGGGTAATTGGCTTACACAAATCTGTCTCTGGTGGTGATCTTACAAAACTTAAAGTGATACAAACTGCAATACAGCAGATGCATGCACCTTTGTCTTTGGTTAGTTCTGAGCTACCTTCTGAAGCGTTCTTTAAGTAGAAGGCAGGCTTCTTGATGAGAAGAAGATTCATATAGTGACAACTACTTTGTGTTTTTAAATGGCAGAAAAATGAATTGGCAAGCAAGATGCGAACTTCGAGAATGTCTTGGCCCGGGGATCAAAGCGAGGAAAGGTGGCCGCTCGCTTGGCAAGCAATAAAAAGGGTATTGCTCTAACAAAAAATCATTTGATGGTATAATGCAAGAACGGCAGTGAAAGTGATTGAGTTGTTTCCATTTATGTGCAGGTCTGGGCTTCTAAATGGAATGAACGAGCATATGTAAGTTGCAGGAAAGCTAGCTTGAACATGGACAATCTACGCATGGCGGTGTTGATTCAAGAAGTCATTTGTGCTGACTATGCTTTTGTCATTCACACGAAGAATCCATTATCTGGAGATGAATCTGAGATATATGCAGAAGTAATTAAGAGTTTCCCTTGGCTCTTTCCATTCACACTCTCCATTTGAATATATCCATTCCAATCTGGGTCTTTTAATTTGATGGTAATGCAGATTGTGAAGGGCTTGGGAGAATCACTCGTCAGTGCGTACCCGGGACGAGCTATGAGCTTCATTACCCGCAAGAATAATCTGAAGAATCC